ACAGAAGCTCGCACTGGAAACATTAGCGAGCATTTCCAGGTCATTAGGACCACTGATCACAGAAGATCTGGCGTCAGTAAGCTATTCTCGAGGTTGACGGATAAATAACCACTACCTTCTTTAGGCAAGTGAACCATCGTGATGAGGATTTCCACTCTCAGTTCAGTAGCATTCCTCCTTCCAACTGTTTAACAAGTATACCTAATGGCGCGTCTTGGGAAAATTCAGTGAAACTGCCCTCTGAAGTGGAGGTATCCCTTAAGCTTCATCACTTAAAAGGACTCTTTCAAGGTCGCACCGCATGCCAGTCTTACAGTTTGTGCTCAACGTTAACTTAGGCGTATCAGCTCACTTTCTTCTACCACATCCTCTTAATTTAAAAACAAGATGTTCGCCTTCTAAATCCAAACAAGAAAATCAGAAAACTTAGATTATATGATGACGTCACCATTTCATGCATTCTTATCCATCACAAAAAACATGCAGCTGATATGTAAAAGAACAACCAGCAATGTCAAAGCGATCGTCTATAGCTCCTGATTTGCGCTACAAGTGTAGGCTTAAAGTCACAGTCAGCTGTATTTGAATGCACAACGGCGGTCGCTCGCGATCCATAATGATGGCCTCCAATAGCCTAAGCACGTTAGGCCGCCATTTGCGCAGTAGGACAGTGAAGGACTTCTCAGGATTTACTCGGTGGCCGGTGGTAAACAAGTTCTTTGTGACTGCCGAGGCAGCTCGGGTTCCCGATTCAGCTGATTCCGTCGTTACGGACACCATTCGGTTGCCTAACCACTTGGGATGTGTTCATTGAATCTGACACCTAAATTTTGGGTAGTACACCCAATGTAGCTAGTCCAGGGCTACAGGTAAATTTATATAGACAGTGGGACGTGCATTGCCTCGTTGTCGGTGTCTTAATCGAACACATAAGGGTAGGTCTTGTCGATGTGATCAGCCGCAGTTCCGCCGCATTGTGCGCTCTTTTGAGTGAAGCTCTAATCTATTTCTCGGTGACCTTCATAACGTGGTCACCGTTGAAAGGTAGCTCGATGGAGATAGGCTTCTTCGGGACTATTCGTAAACGATCTCGCTTGGTTGCTTCACTGACACGCTTGATGAACTGCAACGAGTAACCGTTGGACTATACGGTATTGAAAAGTAAATCCCTTTCTGCTTCTATGATGTCAGGGGTGCAGATCATTTCCGTACTTTACTACACAGAGAAATGAAAGATATGCTGAAGATAGACGTGAGTATAACCACGTATATGAAGAAGGGCCAAGTACCATATATTATATAGCAAAATTCTCTTATTCGAAGTCAAACTACATCTTATTCCCTTTCTCCGCTGGTGAAACGAAGCATAATGACCTTGTGACAACACGCGTGCACTGATGTATTTATAACATGATACTGCCCTTATATAAATTTTATTTCGTGCATTTATCTGCCCTGTGCTCCGAGATGGACCGTATGCTTATGATGTCCATTCACACAACAGCAAGTTGAACAGTCAAAGCTACTTCTTGTCATCCACCAATACCCCTTCTGCTTTCGTTTCACCTGGCACTTGGCGAGCTGCCATGCATGTGTCAAAACAGGCGCAGTGATTTCTTAGTCCCTATTTTATCTCAATTTACTGCCTTCTTTCTTTTCTCTGCTTCCGTCCAGCATTCAACTTTTCATACAACCAAGCCTAATTTCCGGTTCTCATGTTTACACAGAAGTTTAAACGCGAGGCTATTATTCGTCTCTATCTATTTGCACACCCTCCATGTTGTCACTGAAAACGGAAAATCAGAGGCAAATGGCTTCCCCACTCATTCGCTTCGACCTCCCGAATAACACTTCCCACGAGCAGATAATTTGGCGCTTAGCCCCATTAAAATGCTCAAGGAACACGCACAGTTTTAGTTTTGTTATAACACGTATTTTTCTTTCCATCTCTGTGAACAACCCCACTTGCATCCGCTCGGCTTACTAGTGCAAAATGACATTGGTTGTAGGACACAGACTGAAAAGGCATCAAGGGAAGCAAACTAGCACTCCGGCCTCCTATGTAGAGCGTTAGGGAAGTACGACACCTGTCTTTCCGAAAATGCTTGGCGCAGTACTACTAAGAAATAACTGGTGGTACGCACACAGCTGTATCAAACGATCGCCGTTGTCAGTACGTTCGGAGTTCAGCCCATAATTAGCACAACTGTTTCTGAAGAGCTCAAACGCCCTGATTGTGTATTTATATCACCTGCAAGTACTACGATATCTGAACTGGTAACATTGCGTAGTGGTGTGTTCAGTCGGTGATGGAATGTGTCCTTAGCAGCGTCAGAATTGCAGTCGACTGGCCATAAGCAGAAAGCACAAACAGCGTCTTGTACTATTTCATGAAGCGTGCAACCATTTGAAACCTCCAACCTGGAAGACCAGGAGACTAAGTTTATCTGACTTCTAACCGTTGACCAACCTGGTAGGAGTAGCTCTTGAGAGGCCCCAGTATAGCACAATGGGTCAAGGAGGAAAGCAAACCGTCGCACCACGTTAAGGTCCCGTCTCGTTGCCCTTATACTCGTCATTATCCATTACTCCATAGGGTCTTCAGTGACAAAAGAAAAAAGGAGGGCGAACCGAATTGATGCTGCTGTTCAGGAAAATGGCACCGATTTCATACCGCATGAACGGAAGTGTAAACTGAAAGTTCGAAGCCCAATCCAACACTTAGCACATAATATTTACATACACAAGGATGCATAGCATGTAATTACTGGCCTGTGTCCTACATGGCTACAGTCGTTTGTTAAATGGAGCAAATAAGTATTTGATTAGAGATAGTGCATCACGATCGACTCACAATCAGCAGGCTTCGTTAGTCTGGAAAAACACCTGACACCGGTGTTTCGACATTCTGGGTCTCGTTAGTGGTGCGCCCTCCGGCGGACCCCTGCCGAGTTCCACCCCATGACTTCCGGATGCCAGCAGCTAGTGCCACTTCGCCATGGGTGACAGCCACAGACCTGCATGATTGACAGTTGACTGTGATAGCCCGGCTCATGTACAACTGCCATGCCAGTTACGAACTGTGCAGAGGACAGCAGCTAGCCCCACGAGCTAGGGCTTTCCGCATAGAGCCTTGGTACGACGTAAGGAATTAGAAGCTACACGGACAGATTTTATATTACAAACGAGTAATGGGGGTTTGTTATGATTAGAGATAGTTCATCACGGTCACTCAGTCAGCAGGCTTTATAGTCTGGAAAAGCGCCAGACACCGGTGCTTCCACCTGAGTGTCGTCAGTGGTGCGACTTTCAGCAGAGCGCCTTAAAGGTGCACATGCTAACTTATCGGGTACATGCGAAATAGAACAGAAAAATTGTCTCCATAACTAATCATTCTCATCAGTTGCGATGGATTGACTAAGATGTCCGCTTCCCGAAAATCAACGTGGTCCGGTCAGTAATTGCACAACATCAGCTTCACACTAGTGCGTTACAAGCGTACACTTAAGAAGACCCTAGTTGGTCGTGTCAGACGAAATTGTGCTGTTGACTGTTTGGCCGATGAGGTGGCGTTAATCACAACATTTATGGCGAACAGGTACCCTCGAAGATTTATCGAGAAACACAGTCAACTGGGAGGACAAAAGGACGATGCACACGGTGGCTAAGAGAGGTGGAGTCATTAGGCGTGCCCCACTGTTGTGTGTGCTGAATATCTGTGGGCCGCGTACAAATCAGTCATGGTCCCATCCACATGCCTCGTGGCATTAATTCCTCGGAATTACACGGGATCCGGAGGGCAAGTGGTGCATCGCAAGTCATCCACGGTGCGTCCGTGAGTGCCGAGATCATGTCTGTGTTCCTAGTCGCGTAGACGTCAACCGCAACTTCCTTAAGGGATTCATGTAGTTCTCCTTGAGAGTAATTATCGTCTAATATCAGACTTGAAAAACTCAGTAACAAAATAAGGCTGCGTAACGGCCATCTACTCGTGCAGCAAAAGTGTTTCATGGCGGCTATTGGCTGGTAGCCACCACAAGAGTAGACTAAACCGTCAATATGTTGTTCCGGAACGATTGGTGCAACACAGGATGAGTTGCGGTGACGCGACATTATTCCATCATACCTGGGGCATCCAAGATCTACCTTAAGGACAAAAAGAAGTATGTGGATTAAGTGTTCTGAAAAACTTAAGCTGAGTACCCAGCAAGACAGCACAACATTTTTAGTTGCAGCAATATCGCGAAAAATGATCACGATGGGATATAAACATTTGCCAATGTGTTTGAAAAGTCACACCCATAAGACAGCGCCTATCGAAACTAAGAACAATTAACTTTGCCGAGAAAATGGACACATCATATGACGAAAAGGCTAGCTCGTTGCAGGTGTAATGTGCTGTCTTCTGATCAGTTCCGGGCTCCTTGATGCTGAAGTGAAACCGATCGCCATTGGGAAATATCCCGCGCTCACATCATTGTCCAGGCACCCATGGGATCATGGCATTTACCAATACGCTTAGTGGCTAATCTTTTCAGATTAATCACACTGGCGTTTAACTGACCTCAGATAGTTGAACGCGCTCTATGCGGGAGTCCAGGGTGATAGCAGAATGGAACCTGCACCAACTGCAGGCGGTTCTGATGAGAATTTCATCGTGGTTTACAAACCTGAATCCACTATCCTCAACTTGCTCGTTAGACCAATAACGCGACGTCCCCTTATAAAACCTGTGTTGCAAGCGCACACGAAAAAATCGCGATGCAAACGATGAGTAACAAGTGAGGTCGAATAAGTGACGGATCAACAGACAACCTATTCTCTTTTCTCCTCATTTTGTGGTTTACGCACGGTTCCTGCCATAAGAGCCTCTAAGTACTTATCTCATTGAAAATCGGTTAAGAATCCAAGTATATCCTGTTCATAAACGAATTAGCGACTTCTCATTACATTCCCGCCAATTCCAATGCAAATGAGCAAAAGTAACCAGAGTGCAGACACGAGAACAAGAGAATGGTGGTGAAAAAGTCTAATGAGAAATAGGTTAATGTCGGTTAAAAATCAAAACACAGCTGTTTTAGGAAGAAGCCGGGTGAGCTTGACAAGGTCGACCGGATTTTGATGGGCACAATTGTTCCTCAATGAGATTCTCCCATGGACCTTGGTGAGTGTGGAATATTTGACATAAAACTGCCTCCAGAACGCAATACACCAATCGGCGATTGAGAGGCTCGTACTGTAGTAACCGAAAAACGCGAGAAACCCCTCTTCTAGTGGTCTCATTGCCAAGAAATTGCGCTAGGTCCTCTGAAATAAGATAGAAGATACTGTACTGAGTGCACCAATGAGTACCGGATAACAACAAAATGAAAATTAACGACGGAGAAAACGAGTGCGCACTTACAAAGAACGGCAAAGAATACAGCCGTTAAACTGAAAAGTATGATGTGAAAGTGGTCCCAAAAATGCAAATAGTACGATGACGTGGCGAGAAACATCCAACGAGATTACTTGTAGAAACCTTATCAAGTATCGGTCAGGGTCTTCACGCCATTTCGACGACTTCGTACTCTGCGGTTTCAGGTATCTTGAGAATATAACTGCTACAACATACATCTAGGCGGAAGCCAGTTCTAGGTTAGGAGATGTGACTACCTCGAGAAACAGTAGGTTGTCGCCGGTTGGTTCGCGTGAGCATTTTGCGGTCAATAACAACAAAGAGTACACACCGACAATTCGTGCAAGACGACGAAAAGGGGCGTCGGATTCAGATGCATTGTTACACATCTATAACATAAGACCGCATTGGGTCTCCTCGGTATACACTCTAAAAACTAAAAACGTTTCAAATTCCACGGTCTGCCATGCAATTTCAAATGAGACGAACGGTTAAGTTGCGATAAATTTCGGCAATTCTGACCACTGGGGCGGCATCCTAAGGGAGGATTTTTGGTGTTGTCCAGTCCTAACGCAACACCCATGACCGGATTTGTCTTAGCTAATGGAAAACACAGCTATTGTGCCGTAGGAAAAAAGAAAAGAAAAAGATCGCAAAAGTACGCCAGCTGAGCCACCAAAAACGGATGGACATTGTTCCGGAGAGCTATTAGCTGGCCATTGTGTCGCAAAAGAGTTACATTATGCTTAGTAAATGAGACAGTGGTTGGAGGGAGATGCTAAACGGGAGAGGGAATGACAAAGAAACTCACAACGCAAATCCCACTGAGGTCGGTTCCAAGCCGTGACAACAATTGCATTGAGCCAGATGCCTTCTTCGTCTTACAGACCCAAACCAGAAAGTCTAGAAGCTACAGCCGTGGTCAACTTCGAAGTGAGGGCCTTCATTATTTTCGACTAAGTCATCGTTTGGCCACCCCTCCTCTTTCATCCACACACCCGACGCGCAAACAACGCACGTTGCGGGAGTCGGTGGGCAGGCATGCGCCACTGAAACACAAGCCATAGCATCGCGTACATTTATCGATAATGTGTTCGGTTTACGATGATCATGCCAGTTTAAAGACCCGCTTCGCATTGTCTATAATAAAGCACTTACTCAATTTGATGTCTGCGACAAAACGATGAGCCACAGGTTGTAATCGGGTTCTCTGTACAACACATCGCTTATAATGAGCGGCTAGAGAGTGTCCGAGCTGATTCCATAGCTTTATTCAGTCACAGAACATGCCCTTGGTTAATTTTACCAGCGGTCAACTCAGACCATGCAACGGACCAAGAGAAATCAGTCAATGAAACGACTGAAGAGATCAAACTCAACGATCACTATACTGACTGCTGCTGATTCGTTTTGCCTATCAGAATAAGGTCTAAGCAACCCACTCTGTGTCTACCCAAAGACAAGAGAAGACAATTCACAACCAGCAAATGATGTTTTGTTTGTATTCACTATGAGGACTAGTTGTCGAAATTGGATGCAGCTTAGAGCTGTCTATAGAGTACGCTCGACTATTGGTAACGCAGTGAATAAAACAACGTGGCTGCTTCGCCTATGCCAACTCACCTCCAGCCAGCTGTTTGCGGCGGTACGCTGTTCTAAAAGTGTAAATATTTTGACCCGGAATACTTTCCTAGGACAGTCTGGTTGTACAAAAGGTTACAAGTTCCCCACCCAATACGAAGGATACTATTCAGTGCCGCTTCACACTCAGCAAAGAAGGAGGGCAATCTACTAGGGAAATCCAGCTGCGCTGCGGTATGGTCACCGTATGAAGTCAAAACCACACCGGATTAAGTGAACAACAAAATGATACGTTATCCCAATGTTTTGTTTATATTCATGCTGAGGAAACCAGGAGTTTGCTCACTGAATCAAGATGAATAGTCATTGAGTGTGACATAGCAGTTCACGTTCGTCGCACGTCAGGATTTGCAAATCTCCTAAGTGATAAGGTCTCCGAGTTTATGTCTAGCTAGCTAACGATGACGGATGACCTAGATGGTTGCCAGCCGATCTTCCTGCCCATGTCGACACCACTGACTTTAAGAAACTTTCGTAACGTGCAAGGCGCATTACATGAGGCCTTGATTAGGCACGCTGAGGACAGCTACGAATATGCAAGTCGACCTACGAGTAATGATCGATTTGTCGTACATATCCCGATTCTTAGCAGCCCCACGTTAGCGTCCGCAGAACATTAACCATCCTAGTCGCGATGTAAAGATAACCGCTAATCTTGATAAACACTCGCAGAAATACAGAATCAGCAAACCAACAAAATAACGCGAAGTCATGACGTAAGCAGTAGATGACCAGCAAAGTGGCTGAACAAATGTCCGTTTATACACAGTTTAGAACTTTGGAGCTGAAATCGGTTATTACAACGAAACCTCATTAGTGTATGATGAAAGCTTTTGGGATGCTATAGAAGAATATGTTGTGCATGGGCAGCTATCGTTCCGAAGTTACCATCACACACACACACTATACACGTTAGCTGGAGGTGGGAAACACCTCAGCTACTGTGCCGCAATACCTAAAAAGAAAAGAAGGGAATAAAATGCTACAGGTGCAAGCCAGCTGAGCTATCGGTAACGGATGGGCATCGTTCCGGTAAGCTATCTGCCGGCTACTTTGCAGCAAAAAAGTAATTTCCTATGCAAAATTATAATGTTAAATAATGCGATCGTGGTTGGAGGAGGAGGCTAAGAGAGATGGGGTGGGACAAAGAAACTCACAGCACGAACGCCACTGAGGTCGACTCCTAGCCATATTAATAACTGTATCCAGCCAAACGTGTTCATTGTCTTTCGGCCTCCAACCAGGGAGCCGAGAAGCTCCAACTGAGGCCAGCCTCGAAGTGAGGGCCTTCATTCCTCTCGACCAAGTCATCGGTTGGCCACCTCTCCTCTTCTTCCATCCACACCCCCGGCGCGCAAACAACACACGTCGCCGGAGTCGGTGGGCTGGCATGCGTAACACGTGGCCGAGCCATCGGAGCCTCTTATGCCCGCTGATCTAAGGGGCCAGGTTTCACAACCGTACAGTAGGGTCGAACGTACCGCTGCATCGCACACTCTACCCTTCAGGGCGAGAGCGATGTCGCTCCGCCGCCATAGGTAGCGAAGGTTAGCAAAAGCGACTCGAGCTTTTGCTATACGGTTCGTGATCTCATCTTCAATCCCACGGGTGTTGATACAACTTTCCAGACAGTTGAATTTTGGAACGACTTCTAGCTGAACCCCACCAAGGTTCAGCAAAGCACGCGGTCCAGGCCAAACTTGGAGGAACGCTTTGCACTTCAATGGTGCAAAGCAAAGCCCGAAGCGGCTGACAGCCAGTGCTAATCTGTCCAGTGCGGCTTGGCACGTCTGGCAGCTGTCACAGATTAGGGCAATATCGTCAGTCAGTATCCCTGGAACAGATCCACACCTTCTAAGTCGTGTCCTGTAAAGGCATTTCCATGATTTCGTCGACAGCGAAGTTGAAGAGGAAAGGTGACAGCGGGCATCCTTGTCTCACGCCGCTGGAGATATTAGAGGGCGACGACAGCTTGCCGTAAGCCCTCATTCTACCCGTGATACGCGCGTGTAATGCTCGGATAATATTCACATATTTCTCAGGTACACCTTTCCTGAGTAGACAGTCCCAAAGTGCATGTTTACCCACCGAGTCGAATGCACCTTTGATATCGAGGAACACGACTACGGTGGACCGCCAACATATGTGACGGTGCTCCAACAACTGACACAAAGTGAAGATGTGGTCAACGCAGCTACGACCTCGACGAAATCCAGCTTGCTCTTCACGAATCTGGTTTTCACGAGTGCCAGTCAATCTGTGAAGGATGACAGAGGCAAGCAATTTGGAGGCGATGGAAATCAGACTGATTCTTTTATGGTTGCCGCATTCCGATCCTGAGCCTCCCTTGTAAATTGGGACTAGGACGGAGCGGTTCCAGTCGGTTGGGACAGTTTACGGCTCCCACAGTTTCACTAGTAACTCGTATAAATCATCCACAATAGCAGGTCCCGCGGATTTATTTCACTTCAACAGTGCGATCTCACGTTCGATTTCTGAGCGACGACGAACCCGAAGAAACAGCTGAAAAAGCGGGGCGATCAGTGGCCGGAGAGAAATCTAACAATCTCGACCGATTAAATTGCTTTTCAAAGTACTCAGACTGAGGCTCAAGCGTTTCGACAAGTTGTGGATAGGCTGTCCACTCTCGTCACAAATTGTTTCACTAACCCCAGGTCTTCTGCTGCCCGTTTCCAGTATCAGGCGGAATCACTTTCGATGGTTACCAAGGGCGGCGGCCATTTCCATCTCTGAAGCACGATTAGACCACCAGAATTCGCGGTCTCTCTTCAGACTAGCACGGAGTTTTGCCCGGAACTCTGCGAGTTTCATTGTGTTCGCTTCCAGCCAGAATATGCCGGCGAGCATCGCTAAGTTCCAGAGACTGCGAAGAGACCCAATATCCATGTTGGCGATTAGACATACCACATGAGGATTTTCCGGTAACTGATTGCAATCTGATCGATCTGCGTCCAAGGCTGGTTCCAGGCTGGTGCGCGCCAAGTCACCCTCCGGCGGGTGCTGTGTCAGAAACTATTGCTCGCAAGAAATAAGCGAGCATTTTCACACAAATGAAGCAACCGCTCACCGTTATCATTACGGGAGCCTACACCATGTTTGCCGCCCAGATGCAGCTCATCAGTGGATAATTTTCCAATTTGAGCGTTCAGATCCCCAGCCAGCACAACAGTGTCCGAGCTTCTTCTGTGGCGAAGGAGTTCGTTCAGTTGGCGATAGAAGTCGTCTTTTACCGAATTATCGTTAGAGT